GCATTTTCACTTTGTTCCATCATTGAAACTAATTCCCAAGGGGAGGTGCATGACCTTTCATGAGAGGTGCAAAACAATCTCAGGGGAGGTACGCACCTCTCCACACCTCGCCTCAAAATCCGGCCTTGATGCAAATAAATCACAGCTAGAAATAAAGAGCGTACTAAAATAAGTAAATGATTGCAAAGTTTGGTTGCGAAATTTTGTAAAATTATATGGAAAATATTTGCAAATTTCAGAAGGCTATGTTTTTTACATTTTACAACATTTTGTAACCAAACTTTGCAATTTTAGTATGGCCTACCCGGGAATATACTTTTTTTTGCCAAGATAAAAATTAGTCAATAATGGGAATTGTCTATTGGTCCCCATTATCTATTTTTGTTTATTTTTGTTTACCAAAATTTATGTTCTTGTTTTGCTTGTTGGGGGGGGGGCTTTCAAAATTTTACTTGTCTTAAGAGGGGGGCAACGAAAAAATATTATAACTGTAGAGTTTCTCCTCAGTCTCCCCCTGTACAATAAATAATGAGCAGTCCCTAACTTAATAGTTTTTCATGTGACAAGCAGGGTAAACTTGTTAAAATTTCTTTATGTGCCGGGCCGGATTAACCACGTGGCAGATGCGGCATATGCCGCGGTCCTTGCGCTTATGGGGGCCTCGCGCTTTACTGTACCACGCCCATTTTTTACGAGAACACGTCCATTTTCTATTGGGACACACCCATTTTGGATTTTTGGGTGCCTCGCGAACTACATGCCCCTAATTCTGGCGACCCCGCATTTGAAACCCTGGTGGCTCTCGCCATTGACGGGGTTTGGGGGCCTTGCACTGAAAATCTGCCATGGGCCTCGCGCGACGTTAATCCGGCCCTGTTTATGTGGGACTAAATTTCTTTGAAAATTTTTTTAAAATGTTGTGAGGTACGGTAATTGATACTAAAAATGGCATGTGGTTTGCAAGTTTTTACCCTACTTGTGATGTATGCATATCCAAGATGGCAGAATGCACACTGCTTTTGATCAAAATAAGTCGATTTATTTCCAAAACCAAGCAAGATATGGAATAATTGTAAAGGACGCCTATTTATCATTTTAAATGTTCTTTCAAATAAGACAAACTTAATTTGTATTATGACATACTGTATCCCTTTAATACCAGTTTCAAATTTTGGATACCAGACGTTGATATATCATTACCTCGTATTCTATTATTATTATTATTATTATTTAAAAATATTTAAAAACGGTAGTCCTTCAGGGCACATAGGCACCTGCTTTTCAAGGAGCCGTTTGCAAACTACTTAAATTGACAATACAAATATAAATTAATTTACAACTATTACACTACCTATATTACTAGTTGCATAGATTACTAATTACTAATTACAAGAACACATCAGCTGCGGTCAAGAATAGATTTAAATTTACTAAGGCTGTTTTGTTCCTTAGCTAAACTTGGTAAGCTGTTCCATAAGGACGCAGCCGAGTAACTAATACTCGTTTTCATAAAATTTGTTACTGGCTTTCCAAGGGAGAAGTTTATATTGTTACTACGCAATTGATACACTTGGTTCTCTTTGATTTTAAACATTTCTATTACTGATTGTGGCATGACGTTATTTTTTATTTTGTGCATAAAAATACATTTGTTTCTCTTTAGTCGTTCACTTAAGGGCTGCCAATTCAGCTCTTTTAAAACATCTTTAGATCTGGTTTCATATGTTCTGCCCGTAATCACCCTCGCAGCCCTATTTTGTAATTTTTGCAGTTTGTTTAACAGATAATCGGAACAATTATCCCAAACAAGACTGCAATAATCAAAATGTGACAGCACAATAGCATTGTATACTTTTAACAAGGCTGATTGTGGAACAAATTTCTTTATTCTCCGAATCATTCCTATAGCTTTTGAAGATTTTGAAACAATACTTTGTATTTGGTCGTTCCACGAGAGGTGCTCATCAACAATGACCCCCAAAGTTTTAGATTTGTTGACTCGCTTTATTGTTGAGTCACCGAGTTTGACTATAGGATCTGTTGAAATGTTTGAAATGCGTTGTCGTTAGCCAACAATCATGTATTCAGTTTTCTTTTTATTAAGAGTGAGTTTATTCGAAGTTAGCCATTGGTGCATATTTTCTAAATCGGTATTTAAGCGTTCTTGTATTTCAGTGTCAGTTTTATCTTGAGTAGAAATATTTGTGTCATCAGCAAACATACTTGCCGAGGATAATGATAGACAGTTCGGAAGGTCGTTTATGAAGAAATCTAATTGTCTGGCTTATTTCTTTAGCATTGTATTCAAGGAAAGACGGTATTTAATCCTTTATTAATTCGTCTTGACTGTGGATATACGGCCAGTAATCCTAGTGGATGCTGGGAACATGACGGCTATGGACCCATTGCAACATTCAAGTCTGATTGGGACAGGTAAAGTATGCAAATGTTTTTTACAGTAACATATTTGTCCGCAAAAATTTGTCTGGTGGAAAAGGCCGTTTGCAGAACCTGGTCACATGACTGCCCAACCCTAAAATCAAACAGTACTGACAAATGATCCATGATATTAAAAAAATTACAATAAAACTGGTTAAGATTTCTATGACAATGTTTTAATTTGCTAATTTTATATGTATACAAATACAGTACATGTAAAACAAATTTTGTATTTGCCAAATTTTCTTTGTTGACCCATATAGGCCAACAAAATTTGTACTTTGCCAAGTAATACTCCTGGCTTATTATTAGCATGACAAAATTACTGGATGCTGATTGGAGATTAGGATTTAGAGAGGTCCCTAGCCCGCACTCAACAATTTCTGTAAATATACTACACATAAATTTATTCTACATGGGGAAAATTTTTAAAATAAATAAAAAAAATATATTAAAATAAATTTCATCAATTGTAAGGTCATGTAACTCGTGTTACACGGTGCATTTTTTCTTGCAACTTGTAATGCAATTCTACTCTTGAGAGATGTTAATTAGTGAAATCAGTGAAGAATTTTTGATATGTTGAGAATGACATCAGCGGAGTCACAGATGAGGTAAGTGTTGGTTTGAAACGCTTACTTAAAATTAGTTCATTGTCCTTCATAAATAGTTCATTATGTTTTAGTTAATAATATAGTTAATTTGATTGATACCAGGACGGAAACGGCTATACCATATGTTCCTAATAGACTAGATAGCGTGAGTTAGTAAAGTTGTGAGTTGTGCGTCAGAGTAAGGACGTGTAATTGCTACAAGCTATTTAAACTGAAAGGGACATTTCTACGTATTTGTACGAAGAACTGCTATTCATCGCTACTCGTTTGGTACAAGTGTAAACCAAAGTACGTAAGTTTTACAGTATTGTATGTGCTTGTTAGTTTTGTTAGTCAATGACATTTGTATGTTAGTTTTCGCATGCATTAAGTAACATAGTTAAGTAGTTTATTTTATTGTCATGTTTCAGTTCGAACCTACAATCTATGCTACAATCTATGCTACAATCTATTTACGCTACAATTTGTGCTACAACTTATCTACAATTTATCCTACAAATCTACGACTGCGCCTAACCTACAAGTCCCACATCGTGTTTATTCTACAATTTGCTACCCGTATTGAATTTCTACTTGGCTACAATACGTTGCGTGACTTGTACAAAGGCCATTGATTTTGTTGAATATTAAATTTGTTAACCAATGTACATCGATTTGCTATTTGTTGAGTTCGAATATTCATTTGTACCTATTTCAACCATTCAACCCCCTGTGACTCTTGTATTTGGCAACCAAGAGTTACAGTAAGTACTTACCTCATCTGTGGCGGAGCATAGAGATTATAAATAACACTAATAATAATAGTGTTATTTATAATCTCTATGTGGCGGAGTGTAATGAAGACTCGTATTTGGCAATTTTACATCTCTCAAGAGTAGAATTGCATTGCAAGTTGCAAGAAAAATTGCACCGTGTAACATGGCCTTAAAAAAGAAAATGGCCCAAAAGTATTTAAACACAAATGAAATTGTCCTAGAGGAACTTAAAGCAAAAGAACTAAATGAAAATATGAACAAAAGCACCAAATTTTAGTTGAAAGTCTGGCAGGACTGGGCTTTGGCGAGAGAATATGATGTTGACATTGAGAATTATCGAATTTTGTCATGCTAAATAATAAAGAAGTAATCATGCGATGTTGCTCGTACAATTAAGGAATAATACCCGTCTCGACGACTTGTCCAATTTTCACAAAATTTCCAAACATCGCTTGTACTATCCTTAATTGTTCTTGCCATTGCATGATTATCTATACTTGTACAACATTATACATTATAATTATAAATTATAAACAAATTTCATCAATTTTATTGCAATCATATTAATCATTATTGGAAACATTTCCGTAGGTTTGGAGGTACGAAAGTGGAGAGATTCAGACATACTAGCTGGGGAGGTGAGGATTGGGATTTGGTCGATAGGATATTGTCAGCCGGTTTGGAAATTGAACGATTGAAGATTTTGAACTTCTTTCATTTCTACCACACGAAGAAAGAGACGTGGAAAGATTCAGAATGACGAACACATGTCCAGTATTAAGTACTTCTGTAAAAGTTTAAAAATTCTTGCCGATGACAATGTGCTTATGGCGGTTATGCAATGAAACTCAGGCCATTCCGGGAAGGAAAGGGGAGCAATGAATGTGTGATCATTTCCTTCATTCCAAAAGCACTTGATTTAGAGGGAATTTTTTTATGTTTCGTAACTCGCGCTTATAATATACCACCTACGGTTAGGAAAAAAAATATGTGGGTTTCCGGTTTCGCGACCCTAAACTTTTTTATTGGATCATGCTTGTAAGTGTTTCCACTTAGAGGAAAAAGTTTGTGGAAAATTGAAATTTGAGGCAATATTAGGGAAATTTATCTTTGGATGTGGAAGCACTGACTAAACAAAATGGCGTCCGGTTGTTAGGAAAATAAAAAAAAAAGTTTTAAAAAAAAGTTAAAACCGACCTACCTTTTTATAAGAAGAAACCGGAAACCCACATTATTTTTTTTTGGCCTTATGATTACATTAAAATTTTTTCTTCAGCAAACAAACTTAAAAAGCATCTTTACTGGTGCTTTATCTGTAAAATGACGCTAAAATGAAGAGATTTTAGTTGGTATGCCAAAGAGAAAATGGTGTCCGAAGCAGTGGTGTAGGCCAACCCGACAATTTGGTCATGCTATGCAAATTTCAAATCATCATTATTCATTTCTTTAGAAATTGATTGTTTTCACGGTTTATGAACACGGAAATACTTGCATAGCATGACCAACTTGTCGGGCTGGTTACGCCACTGGTCTGAAGTTCGGAATGGATCTTCCCCCTTATATAAACTAAAATTTTGATCTAGACAAGTCTAGACAAAAATTTCATCACAGCTTGAAAGAGCATCACAAAATTAGTAATATTCCAAAGTTTCGTTGCGAAATGTTGTAAAATGAGGATAATATAGCCCTGCGAAATTTGCCGTTTTTCCGTCATTTTGTATTACAAACGGGAAATTGATGTCCCAACACCCGATTGGGCTGTCAATTTCCCGTGCGTAATACAAAATGACTGAAAAACGGCAAACTTCGCAAGGCTATATTATCCGCATTTTACAACATTTCGCAAAGAAACTTTGGAATATTACTAATTTTGTGATGCTCTTTCGTTGTCTTACTGTCACCTATAGTTGTGAAATTATAAAAATATAAAAGACTGTTGGTTTTACTGCAGTACAGTAGATTCCCTCGAACTCCCCTCGAATTCGCTAATTCGAACAAATTTCATTTTCCCTTGCTCAAATATACGCGGTTATTAAACTGGAGCTGTATTTTTGAGACGTGATCGGCATAACGGCCTCAAAATATCAGAACAAAGTCAACAAACGGTTTACACTTTATAAAATATACGAACGTAATAAAAGGTTCAACAAGTTGCATCGATCATGACTGATCTGAGGTTGTGATGAATAATAAAACGACTATAGCTTATTAACTAAAATGTTGTAACTCCGGCAAACTTACTGTCCAAACAACGTCACCATGCTTGCCGCTTTCAAGCTGGAAGACCTGCATTCAAACCATTTTCAATGGTTCAAACCTTCGACGGACCTCTACTCAAGGTCTTAAAATAATTGAGGAGAAAGTGCTACCTTTACATTGACATCTGTAAATGACCACACTTTCGCGTCTTCTTGGATAAGGACGTTAAAATCGTAGGTACCTCGGATCCCTTATCAATTAGGCAATAGCCTGCCTGTTGGGAAATCCGCTCACCAATGAATAAGAATTAACTCAGTGAACTCAATTTTCTATATAGACTCATTTGAGTATGAAACCGGCAATTCTGGGCTTCATTTTTGGCAGTGGTCTGAAGACAGTCAAAGATGACGCGATGGAAAATTGTTGACGCAATTTCTAGTTGGGAATTAATTGATAAATGCCTGGTTAATTTAACACAGGGGTCTCAAAACGCTTTTATAAGCAACTGTCACAAGCTAATTGTACCGAAATAACTGATGTACAAATGTACAATGTACAAATCAATTGGATTTCTCTGGAAAAAGATTTCATTCTAACGTAACTGAACATAGTCATAGTCTCATAGAATATTTATATTAAAAGCAGCCACTAGGCACTGTAGGCAGGCTATTAACAAACAATGTGTATATCGGGTCGCCGTGTTCTTGACATACAGTAGTACCTTATCGTTTAAAATTAAACCAACATCGTTGCACCATTTCAAAAAATTTCCCACTATAAAACTTTGAGTTTTATTACTGTATTTTTCACTCTTCGCCTCTTTTGCTTCGGAGGATCCGCCATATTGGATTTCTTGCGAATGTTTGCTGACCAGTTAACACGTGCGAATTGAAGGCTCGCATCCTTAAAAAGTGGAACATTGGACCTTCTCTGTCTGAGTGGATCTACATTTTGAATACTTTTCCCCCCTTTTTGTACAACTTTCCAGCTCTAATTACAGTGATTTCGTCTTCAAAGATAGAAATGTGTTGTGCGAGCTTATTTCATCAAGAAAAATCACAGGAAAGCAACAGCTTTATACACAAAAGTGACAAAACGCTAGACCGATATATTTCAATACTTGTTGGGAAATAGGTATAATATTTATATATAAAATATAACAATATCTTTATTTCTATGCGACAGTGGCAAATTCCAGCTATTAAATAACGTAAATTTTAAGTTCTGATGTCTACGACCATACCACCAGGAAAACACCGGTTCTCGTCTGATCACCGAAGTTAAGCCTGGTCGGGCGAAGTTAGTACTTGGATGGGTGACCGCCTGGGAATACTTCGTGTTGTAGACTTTTTGCCTTTTTTCTTATTATTAATTTGCAGAATTTTACTTAAAAATTTGTTTTCTCCAAGGTGTTACAATATTTAATATTCACATCAAAATTTGCAACAAAAAACATAGGGCAATATTTTGTTTTTTTCCAGAATTTTCAATATTCTTGAAAGTTTGAAAACGGATTGGCAATCACTATACAAAACTCCAGACTGATTTATTTCAATACTTCTTGGGAAGTAGGTTAGGGACCGCTCATTATTTATTGTACAGGGGGGGATTGAGGAGACACTGGGGGGGCCTTCAAATTTTTCAAAACCTGAAAGGGGGGGCTTTGAAAAAATACAGAGAGACGAAAGAAGGGGGGCTTTGAAAATATTTACCAGTTCAGTTGAAAAAACAGTAGTTTTTAAAATGTATCACAAAACAACTTAACAACAAATAACAATATTTATAGACTTTAATATTCATAAATGGAAGTGAAATAAAAAGTCTCTCATGTTCATGTAAATAGACAATTCCCATTATAGACTAATTTTAGAACTAGGCAAAGAGATGCAAATCAAGGCCGGATTTTGGTGAAAATAGTGGGGGAGGTGGACAAAAATTTTAGGGGAGGTGCAGCGGTCTAGCTCACAACTCCCATGAAAAGTTAGGGCTTATTGTAGAACAGGCCAATATCAACGAGGTGAGGTATGCATGTAGTGTACATAATATGTACCATTGTATCAGGAGCGGATCCAGCTCCTGAACTGACTGATGCATACATAAGAACTCGCATTTGTCGGGGGGTCCGGGGGTATCCTCCCCCAGGAAATTTTGAAATCTAGAACCTCGGAAATGCGATTTCCTGCGTTCTGAGCAAACTCTTTTGTTCCAATTCATACATCAGAGTCACAAATTTATTTGCTGCATTTTTGGAAAGCACGTAAAAAACTTGAACCTATATATCGCAAAAACAACATAATTTTTCCATATAAGAAAAAATATTTGCTTGTACAATTGTAATAGCAGCAGCTGTGCATAAGTCTCTATTAAAAAATAGTCAGTACTTACTACTGTGCTTCTTGTAGCCTTAACTTTTCTATTGAAAAACATTTCGGCAAAAAATCACGACAACGCAAATACACACATACGTGTAACAAAGTGTATACAGTGTGATCCACTAGTTGCAATGTTGGACTCAAAAGACAGTGTTATTAGGTTTCTTAATTAACCACCTTCCCTGAGGCTTATTCATTTCCACTAATTTGCAATGTTCCATGAGTAAATTTTTTTAGCATTAGAATGGTGCATAAAGGTATTTTGTGCTCTAGTTGGTAAACTTATTTATATACAACTCTGTCTTATGCTGCTAACCTTACTCTGTATGGACAGTGTTGTTGGCATCAG